CTTGCGTTGAAATAACAACTGTGGGCGCAGCAGAACACTGAGAACTGCAGGGTCAGTGTTGTATGGCAGCCTAGCCCATCACAAGACCCCACAAAACTAACACAAGACCAACATAAGACCAACACAAGACCCCAAGCCTGAATTCAAGTCACAAGCTATTCAAATAAACTCAACTTCCTTTGCCATTGTTCATCTTGTTACTTGCGACTAGTATTGTGCAAGTTCTTATGACGGTCTGCGTTCAAACGGAAATCTGAGGTCCAAATTCCATGACTTCTCCGGGACTTTCCAGAACTAAAATATGACAACTTCCATGACAGCTAATGTCACTCCCCAGATAAAAGCTGTTTGGTATTATGAACTGGAAAACTGCCATGACCCTACTATGGACAAGGACAGTCCATTTATTAATCAAAACTCCATTAAACAAATCAAAAAACAGACAATTAAAAATGACATTTATGTGATCTCGATGTCAAAAATAATTCCACACTTTCTCCTCTAACAGGATTCCAGAACATCTCCTGTCATCCAAATTTTCCACACCTTTTTCCTTTCCTTGACTTTGTTCCCGGCTTTTCCAGGATTTCCTTGACCTCTGGCAACCCTGGAATAGGGACTAGGAACCCAGGGTGGCTAAGGAGAGAAACTTACTTGGCAAAATTAAAGTTCGAACCAAGAAATGGTTGAGGACCAGTCAAAACATATGTATCCCTTGTCATTTTGGCTGGTACCCTCTTTCTGCCAGACGAGCCTATTTGCCATGCTTTGCAAATTTCTGCGCAGGGCAACTGCATTACTGGGCATACATGTACACGAAAGTTCATTTTCCCTACATTCAGAATGGCCTGTTGAAAATCATTCATTCAAATGTTTTGATTCCAATCCTTCACATCAATTCTGGGCCTCTACTGTACTTCTGTACAGCTAACGATCTCTCCAAAGTCGCACGGCCCATAATGTGAAAAACACATATTCTATGCACGTAACACACACTAACTTAATACTAAGTTCAAAAGTTCGTAAAACAACATGTGCACACAAGGTCTGTCTGCCACATAACATGTCTTGGGCTCAGGCAGTGCAGCACTGTCTTCCACTGGGCAGGCTCCCAGCCGAAGTCTGTCTGTAGCAAAATGGACTTTGCACTTGCTGCACATGGCATTGCGCAACACATAACCATGGCTATGTCAATGGACAGTGACCCCTACATGTAGATCTAGATTGACGGGCAATTTTTACCTTAACGGCGGGAGGACAATACAACACTCTGAAAGGCTTGTTTGTAGTTGAGTGATGCTTTTTCATCTGGGCCTCCTGATGTCATGTGTAATTATAGGAATGACTGGGTTATCGCACGACAATTTCGACGTAGACCACTGATCTCACGCCCTTGGGAGCGCGAGGATAATTTTGTTTACAGCTGCATGTATTATTGACACTATCTCTCGAAACTTCTTGCTGGTGTGAAGATTTCTGTGTGATCTGTGTACGTGCGATTTGTAAGCCCTTGAGAAATGGCATACATGAAATTTCAGCTGGGGTATAAGTACATGTACATGTATGCAAGTGATCTTGTATATACATGTATATATTCTATAGTGTAGAATTATGGGTAATATTCCAGAAATTAGGGGGTCATTTTTTTGTCCCTGTCACATCTGCTACATGATTTTGTAAGTTCAGAACACATTTTCTGGGGTGATTTCTAAGATTGATGAATTAATGCAAATTACCTACCAAACAAATAGTAATAGTTTGAAATCAATTCTGGTGATATTTCCATGTCAAATAACAAAGGTCAGATGGAACAGGGACACAAAAATGCCGCACTTTTGGACCCTTAAATTTCTGGAATTACCCTCATACATGTACATGTATATCGCTCCATGGGTCTGTGCCATGAATTTCTTTCAGACACAGTTTTGGGGTGATTTCATACTCTTACAAATGGGTCATTAGGGAGACATTTTGTGGTGGATTTTTTCGATCTTAGGGAGACATCGGTCATTAGGGAGACATTACAATGTCTCCCTAATGCCCCGGCTACCAGAAGGAGGCCGAATTTTACCATCCAAATTTTGAGAGATGATAGATTAGGGTCTAAATTGAAAACATACAGAGTTTGGTTCAGATCAGATTAGGGAATATTTAATTATGGGACGGTAAAGTTTGTGCACGTTCTTATGGGAATGTCTCCCAAGTGACCCATTTTCCGTAAAATGAACTCTTCTTCCATATGTGAAACCTACTTGACATCTCCTTTGGGTGAGGTGCAGAGAAATGTGCAATTGGGTCAATCTATAAATTTGGGGTCGAAAATGTGACATTTTTCCGTCCTTGTTACCTCTGACAGGTACATATACCATCTGACAAGCTTGACAAGGGATGTATCACTTTTTTTATTTGTTGGGCAGGTAATTTGCAGTCTTATCAGTCTAATTTGCAAGACTTATCCAGTCTTGGAAACTGAACAATGAGTTATAAATATTAAAAATCAAATGCCAGACGAAACGGGGACAGGAAAAAAAACGGACCCCCAATTTATAGAATGACCCAATTTCAAGGTGCATCGTCTTTAACCCCTTGTCAGCGAGAATTTCTCTCCGAAAGCCGACTCCAAGAATTCCAGCTTCGCTTGGCCACGAAGGCCACCTGCCAAACCGCAAATTCTTGGTTTGTGGCCCAGCGTGCTCTGCACGCTTTGAATTACACGGTGAAAAGGCTCATTGTTCGGTGGCATGCGGCTCTACTCAAGCTTCCACATTCCCATTGCCTCTTTTCAAAGTGGAGACTATTGTGAAGCAGGTGATTATGATGCAAATTCGGTCTTTTCATTTCTGAGCTACACACAAAGGCCAATTACCATATACACAAGAGCCAGGGTCTGCCTTCTTTCACCGTGTTTGCTCGAGCGTGGGCCGAGAACAATAGCTGCAAAGCGGACTGAGGATCTCAATTTTTACGGTGTGTCTTAGCGCGTCCCGCCATGAAGGGGTTAAGCATTCAACACTGTCCACGCTTTGTCAGTCAACTGAGGGCGCTGTTGCTGTGATGTCATTCAGGAAAGACACGGCTCACTTAATTCACACACGTACTTGCAATTTTTGTACAGCTTTTTCGGTTGAAATTGCAAACCCAGATTTTGCTTATTGGAAACATCACCAAGAAAGGGTCTATCACAGAATCACCAAAGAATAGGAAATTTAGAAAATTCCAGCGTTATTCTGTTCACACGTCATTGCAACACTGAGATATTCTTCTTGGATTGACATCAGGTTTGCTCCCGTCAAGAAACAAATATGCCCCCAAATACCTTTAAGACTATGCAGTCAAACAAAAATGGAACAATGTAACCTTTAACTTCTGGCAGCCAACATGAATGAATGTTTCAGCTGTTCCAACGGGACTGCGGAACTCCCCTACTAATACATTCGAAATGCCAAGTCGATTAACATGAGCCCTCAAATACCCCATCCGACATGTCCGACTCCTGGAGGAAAATCGTGCAGGAAAAAAAACCAACCAAAGTCAACATCACTGTTCAAACAAAACCCCAAATGTGAGTGCCATATGCCTGCATGTATCGTGTTACAATGCAAGCAGAATGTGACGTTCTTTCCACCGTCTTTATGGTCTTGGATTCCAATAATCGTCTTGTGATTCCCAGAGGGTAAGGGGGCCTTCTGAGGCCACATCCTCGCCATCCTGGCTGGCTGTGAAATGTGAATCTCCAAAATCAGTGGATTTTAGGATGACCTCTTAGCCAACTGCCTGTCTGAAAAACAACTCATCTTCTAGATTTTAAGGTAATACATATACCCTGATCACGAGAAAAACAGGAGGGGGAAATCACATGAGATTTGAACGGTTTACGCGAAAGTCTATCATTCATTTGTACGTTGTGCAATTCATTAAAAAAAAACTGTGCTACATTTTTCAGATCAGGGAATTTGAAATTAAAGAAGTTGTACACTTTTTTTTTCCAGTGAAGGCTATTTCATACTTTGAACCTTCCAAAATCAATTTGTAAAATGGCAACCCATTATTTCAACCAAAATCTACCAGGCCAACGATGTGCTGTACATGTACACGTACGAATACATGCCAGAACTGATTGAAAACACCGTAAAAAGACACTTGGACGGTTATCAAACATTTCTTTGCATGAACATGTATGTTTCCAATATTTACCCAAACATTCGACCAACATGTAAATGTGGTTGAAGGTACTATGTGAAAGACACACAACATTACAAGTATTGAATTAAATTCAGGACTAGTTTTATCTGCAAAGACATCACTCTTAAGTTATACCCTCCAAACATGACAGGCCGATGAAATACTTATGATGTTGCAGCACTTTTTTATGTTTAATTTCACCCTCCACGGCAGTGGGACAGTATTCAGCGAGTGGCTACCATTTCTGGGGTCAATGACCCCCCTTTCGCTTTCGTCTGCACTGAAAATCAGCAATGCTGAACGTGTACCGGTGGGCCAGTTGTGTAAGTGTGTAAAAAGTGCACATCGCCATGGCTGATGCCTAACCGGGCAAAGTGCCACCACTATCGCAAGCCACTTTGGCAGATCGATGGTCGCTGCTCAAAACC